GGGAGGTAAAAATGATTAGGATTGATTTTTTTTTTTTTTTTTTTTTTTTTTTTTTAGTTATCGATGCCTGTGTTTGGAGGTCATACAGAACTATGGAGTGAATGAGGAATCTGGAATTGCCTGGTTTTAGAGGGACAGTCTATACTGCCAGAGTTGGCAGACCTTTTCCACAAAGGGCCAGATAATGAATATTTCAGGCTTTGCAGTCTTTGCTGTAGTCCTGCAGCTCTGCTATTATAGCATGAAAGAAGCCATAATATGCATTTTAGTAAAACTTCATTCACAGAGACAGGCAGAGAGCCCTTGGTCCATAGTTTGGAGACCTCTCTGGTCTGGAGGCATATGGAAGGTTTGAAGTTTGGAGGGTTACTTCCATTTTAGGATGTGATGCCAGGGACTTTGAGAGTGAGGCGTCTGCTGCTTACTGGTAAGAAGAAAGTGCAGTGGAGATTAGTCATATCGGATTCATTACCAAAATTACCTCCACATTGGGTCATGTACATAAAGTTGTTGCAAAATAAAGTAGTTTTTATTGAGAGCACTGAGCTGAGGGGTCCAGAAACCAAGTTTGAGAGGATGATTTTGCTCCAGACCTACTGTCCCTTTAGCTGTGTGACCTTTCCCCACTCTGCGCCTCAGTTTATTTGTGTGCGATTTCAAGAGGGGGCTAGACATAGGTGCTTTTATCCTAGGAGCCTGTGACTGTGCTTCAGGGAAGCACCTGCAGAGCCTTTGCAAGGGTGTGCTCTCTTCTAGGTGAGGATACCCAGCTTTAAGAGATTCTCAAAGATCCCCATGAACCCCCAAAAGTGAGTTTCTTAAGAGCCTGTCTGGCTCTGACCTCAGATTTTCTTCCCCACCCAATCCACCTTGTTCCTCCCTCTGTGGGATCAAGCAGCTATAGTTGTGGGCAGGGCTGGGAATTCCTATTTTTTCCATAACTGGCTCCTGGGAGAGCAAAGAGAAAAAGGTGGATCTTTTCTGTTTACTGGCACTTTCAATCAAGTTTAAAGGTCATGTCAACCGGAGGCTTCTGGACCATGAGCAAAGATAGTCTGGCAGAGTTGTAGGATTTGTGGGAGTGGAGCAAGCTACCAGTTAGGGCCACATTCTGTGTGTTCAAAGAGAAGTCATCCCCTCTTCATTCCTGTTTGCTCACCTGACACATGGGGTGGGAATTTAGGTTTGGTTTTGTTTTGTTTTCCCCAGTGGTGCTGGGGATGAAACTTAAGGCCTCTAGCACCTGATGGTCTAATTTGATCAGTTTGTTCTGGAGAGGTTGAGATCTGGTGCTCCTGAGAGGGAAGACTGTTCCCCCAGTTCCTAACCTGCTCTTCCCTGTCTCCAGGTGGCATGTGGAGCCCCCCACCACCATCCTGGTCCTGAGATCCTGTGACTCCTTGCCTGTTTGTCATCATCCCCCAGAATGGACCGTGGCGGCCTCCTGCCCTTCCAGCTCTGGTGTCCCCGGCCCTTTGGTACCTACTCCCAGAACCAGCCGCGCCCGCCTTCCACATCCCTCAAGTCATCAACCTGCTCCGAGCCAGGCAGTGGGGCTGAGCCTGACCATGGGCCTGCGCACTCGGAGAATACCCCGCCAGCCTTGGCCGCAGAGGCCCCTGCTGCTCAGCCTGCTCCGCTCCTCTCAGCAGCAGGTGCTGGTGATGAGGGCCGAGTCCTGCTGGACACGTGGTATGTTATCAAGCCTGGGAATACAAAGGAGAAGGTGGCCTTCTTCGTGGCCCACCAGTGTGGTGGAGGCAGCCGGGCCAGCTCCATGAAGGTCAAGGGGCACTGGGGCAGTGACAGCTCCAAGGCCAAGCGGAGGCGGCGCTGTCTGGAATCCACCAAAGCTCCTCCGGACCCAGGGGGCCGGGAGGGACCCCCTGCTGCCGAGGGGGGCCCCACTTCAGCAGGGGAGGATGTGGACTTGCTCTCTGTCATAGAGATGGTGGCCCTGGTAGAACAGAGGGCCGCCCTGGCCCTGCAGAGCTATCCCCGCCCCACCACCCCAGCGCCTGTGGTCTTTGTGTCGGCTGAGCAAGGTGGACCACCTAAGGGGCTAGGGTCTGAACGGAGGTCTGGCGGTGGTGACTGCAGTCGTGTGGCTGAAGCAGTAGCCCATTTTGAGGCTCAGCGGGACAACCCTCCGACCAAGGGCCTCCGCAAGGAGGAGCGGCCAGGGCCAGGTCCTGGTGAGGTACGCATTGCCTTCCGCATCTCCAATGGCAGGGAGCCCCGCACACCAGACAGCAGCCTACCCAATGGAGGCGGGGGCCGGTCTGGCTGTGCCTTCCCTGGCAGCCCAGGTCCTGGGGCTCGAACCAAGGACAAGATCACCTGTGACTTATACCAGCTCATCAGCCCTTCCAGGGATGCCCTGCCCAGCAACGTGGAGTTCCTGCTGGCTAGGGCAGATGAAGCCAGCGAGGCTGAGACCCCAACCCCTGCCAGGCCTGAGGACACTCCCCCCGCCCCACCCCCACCCCCTGCCCGGGACTGTGGAGCATCAGGCTTTCACGTGGATGTGGTGGTGACAGGTGTGGTGGACGAGTGCATCTTCTTTGGCAAGGATGGCACCAAGAATGTAAAAGAAGAGACAGTGTGCCTGACTGTCAGTCCCGAGGAGCCACCCCCACCCGGCCAGCTCTTCTTCCTCCAGTCTCGGGGGCCAGATGGGCCCCCTGAGCCACCCCCAGCTGATGCGCCAACCACGCTGCCAGGCCCAGATGATGCTGAGGGGACAGCAGACACCTCCCTATGCCGCCTTTACCGTCATGTGTCACACGACTTCCTGGAGATCCGCTTCAAGATCCAGAGGCTGCTGGAGCCACGACAGTACATGCTGCTGCTGCCCGAGCACGTGCTGGTCAAGATCTTCAGCTTCCTGCCCACAAGGGCCCTGGCAGCCCTCAAGTGCACCTGCCACCACTTCAAGGGCATCATTGAGGCATTCGGCGTCCGGGCCACAGACTCACGCTGGAGCCGAGACCCACTGTACCGCGATGACCCTTGCAAGCAGTGCCGTAAGAGATACGAGAAGGGTGACGTGTCACTCTGCCGATGGCACCCCAAGCCCTACCACCACGACCTGCCTTACGGACGTTCCTACTGGATGTGTTGTCGCCGAGCTGATCGTGAGACACCAGGCTGTCGCCTGGGCCTGCACGATAACAACTGGGTGCTGCCCTGCAATGGGCTGGGTGGGGGCCGCACTGGCAGGGAGGAGGGGAGGGGAAGGGGAGGAGCCCATCACGCCCACCCCTCCCCCATCCCCTGGGAGCCAGGGACCAGGACTGGGCTACCAGCCCACACCCCAGTCCAGGCAGTGTTGATCACCCACCAGAACTGAGACCAGGGTCAGAGTGACCCACGAGAACACTCTGGTTGACCCCTGTTGGTTTTGTACTCCTCAGACCCAGGTCCGTGGACCCTCAAGTAGGGTGTTTTTTTATCAGCATCTCAGTTTCTTCTCCATTCAGCCCCAACACCCTCCCTGCCACTCTCTACACCCCAGGGACCCACCAGCAGGGAGCTGACGGCAGCTAATTTTGGTACCACCTAAGGCTTCCCCATGCTGGCCCGCTTCTGCGCCTTCTCTCAGTTCTTCATCTCTGGAGCTGTTTTCTCCAAGAGGCTACAGCATCCAAGGTTATACCTTTCTAAACGTACCAACTAGGGCTCACCTCCTTTTTTGGAATTGGGGGCCATCAGATCACAAGGTAGATCTGGCACTTTATCATAGCAGCCTGCCATTTCTATGTTTTCCTTATGAAAGAAATAAAAATCAATGTTTTCTCCTTAATCTCAAGCTACCAGTCTGTTCCCTTCCCCTACAGGGGAAGAGAAAAAAAAAAAAAAAAACCTTGAATTATGGAAACTTTCCTTCTTCCCATTATTTAAGCTATTGCCTTCACTCCTCCCCCAGTAAAGCTGTGAAGCCCTTTGCCTCGCTTTTGACAGCGTGGGGGGCCAGAGGGCAAAGGACTGTGGGTTTGAATTTCTAGATGGTTTTTCCTTCAACTGTGGGTACTTGTTAAGGCATTGGGGTCTCTTCATCCCCAGCCACGTTTCTTTAGAATCTTTTGGTCATTTGGGACCTTGATTTTCAGGCAGTTTGGTCTGGGGTGTTTTTTTTATTTGTTCTTTTTGGGGGTTTTTGTTTTTTCATAATTGTGGTTCTGGAAGCTTCTAGTGTGTGGCATCTGACCAATTTTGAATTGGTCCTTTCTATAAAATCAATATTTATAAGGCTGGGCCCAGACTGGTCTGTGTGTTATTAAGGGAGGGGAATTGGGAAGAGAAGAGCGTCTCAGGCCTGTGCACAGGAGGATGGAAAAAAATAGAGATGGGTCCCTTAGCCAAGTCCTGAGCCTGAGATTATTTTCAGCTCATCTCATCTGTGTCAGTGTGAATTTGAAAATCTCAAAATAGTAGTTGCTTGAACAAAACCATTTTTCTTTCTTTAAAAATCCAGTGTTGAGCAAAAATGGTGGTCCTCGAGTCATCAGGAAGCCAGGCCCCTTAGCTCAGTATCCCATCATGCCTTGTCTCTGCACTTAGCCTTGTGGCCTAAGGGGACTGCTAGCAGAACTCCTGCCTGTGTTGCAGTGGGGGTACCCCTTCCTCTCATGAGTCCTGCACTGCACCTCTGCATCTCAATGCTCAGCATGTGGCCACATGGAAGGGCTGCGAAGGAGACTGGGAGTGCAGTCTTGTAGCTGAGTGCAGTATGCCCAACCAAAAATCTGTTTATCTAAGATCCCAGTAATTAAAGTTTTAAAATAGTCATTTTACTAAATAAAAGTGGAATTAGACATAATTTTTTAAATTTATTTTAGTTGTTGATAGACCTTTATTTCATTTACTTATATGTGGTGCTGAGAATCGAACCCAGTGCCTCACACATGCCAGGCAAGTGTGCTGCTGCTCAGCCCCAGCCCCAGCCCAAGACATCTTTTTAATTAAGTATAAAAGAGAAAAATGAATACTGAGCAGGAAGTAGCAGTTGCTGACGTTCTTATCAGGGAATCAATATCCAGAGAGACTAGGGAATATCATAGTAGTAACTCAATGCTTAGATTTTAGAACCAATGAGACCTGAGTTTGAATCTTAGGTTTGATTTTGTGGAGCTTCGGTTTCTCCTCAAGTGTGAGTTTGGCTCCTTCTGCTGAAAACAACTGAAATAACAAATTTCCTAAAGAGCTCAGATGGTCAGTAAAATACCATAGGACCCAGGAGACAAAAAGGGGAAAGTATGTGGGCCCTGAAACCACTTTTGCCCTCAGGGCATTTGCTGAAGTGGATAAACTTGGGTTTCCTATGTGACCTCCTTACTGGGACAAACAGGCTGAAGTCCTGCCCAGTATAATAAGAGCCAAAGGAGTGGGGATCCCAGAGCACTACACACTCAGGATCCAGAAGACCCTGGAGATGTTTGGAAAGCAGGGGGAGCACAAGACCAAAGGAAAGAAAAACTTGACCCTGAGAATTGGGGGTCATAGACTGCACAGGTTTGCAGCCAGGTTCACATCACCTGTACGATCAGGGTACATTTGCTGAGAGGTTGGGCAGAAACAGTGGAACTGTCATCTAAAATTCCACAAATAATCCTTTCAGACAATGAATAGTAAACAACCACACATGGAAATAAAGCAATAAAAGCAGGAACCAGCAGAAACAACCCTCTGAACAGGTCCACAGAGTTTTCAGACAGAACTCAGTCACATATTAAGTAAAATATCATAAAATTTTTTTCTTTAAAAAAATTTAAGAGCTTGGAAATATCAGCAGGGAACCTCAAACTAAAAACTCTCCTAGCAGATTGGGGAAGGGGGCAGGCAGCCCACACACAGAACTTGTAGAAATGAAAACTATAGTGACCATATATATTGAATTAAACCTAATGAGAGAAATGCAACACAGAAACACAAACACAAAAGAAACCTGAGAAAATAGGAAAGAAAGGTTATGGAGGACAGTGAGAAGGTCCAACACACATTCCAGAATCAGAAGAGAGATGATGCAAAGATAATATTTAAAGATGTGATGGTTGAGAATTGCATACTGATGAGACACCAATAAACCCAGTGAATCATAAGCAGGGAAAATTTTTTTAAATGCAGTGATGACACCCAGCTGTGTGATCTTGGGCAGTTGGTTCCTCTGAAGCCGTTTCTTAATCTGGAAAATAAGAATATGGGTTGAGCGTTCCTTATCCAGAATTCCTGGCATCGCACGTGTTTTTAAGATTTAGGATTTTGGAGTCGGGAGTGCTTGGTATTTTTATATATACATATCTCAAGTTAAAAACAAAATTTGGGGCTGGGGATGTAGTTTGGTGGTAGAACATTTGCGTAGCATGTAGGAGGCCCTGGTTCCATCCTTTGCACCACAAACAAAAAGCCCACAAAACTTATTTGCTTTATTTATACCTTACACACAGAACCTGAAGGTGATTTTATACATTTTTAGTTCACCACCATTTTAACTGCAACCTGTCACCTGAAGTCAGGGGTGGAATTTTCCACATGTGGTGTCAGTACTCAAAAGTTTTGAACTTCGGAGCATTTCAGACTTTTGGATTAGGGATGCTCAGCCTGTCCCAACAATTCCTCAGGAGACTGGTAAGTGCTCAAAACTTGTACACCTATGGTTCCTTCATAGAGTGAAGCTGAGGGAGCCCAAGTGTGAGTGTGCATGGGAGCTGCAGGGCTTACTGGCCTGGAAACCTGGGGAAACACGAGCTTGCCAAGCATCAGCAGCCTGATCTATAAAATGGGTCTCATAGTCCTTACCCTGGATTCAAGCCAAAAATGTTCATAGAGCCATTTAAAAGCCACATGCTACTTTTTTCCAGCAAACTAGTCAACCAGCACATCCAGCACAGGTGACATGGAGAAGGAAGGACACAGGGGTCCTTGGAATCACAGCTGCATGTGAAACGGGTCTCTCCAAACAACTGGTTCACAATTCTCTGAGCCACCTCACCTGCAAAATGAGGACTGAAATTGTACCTACTTCAGGGTTTGGGGGCAGACTAAATGAGTTGATGTAAGTAAATTGCTTGTGCCCAGCACATAGTAGGTTCCCAATAAATGTCAGTGAGTAGAAGAATCTAAGTTGAGGACCTTCTGGTTTCCTCCCTAATTTGTTATCTTCAGTTTCAGCCCTGGTGTTCCCTGGAGTCTTCTGCATCACTGAGTTGACTTGGAAGGCCCATGTTCAACTTCCTCATTTAATAACCTTCCATCTTTCTTTTTTTTTTTTTTGGTACCAGGGATTGAGCCCAGGGGCACTTAACCAGAGATCTACATTCCCAGCCTTTTTTATTTTTTAGTTTGAGACAGGGCCTTGCTAAGTTGCTGAGACTGCCCTTGAACTTTTGATCAGCCTCCTGAGCCGCTGGGATTATAGGTGTCTGGCATAACCTTCCTTCTTGTCTTCTGGGGATGGAGCCCAGGGCCTCATACGCTAGACAAGTGCTCTGCCAGCGAGCTGCACCCCCATGTGGCTCCCTGCATCTAGGGCTTTTTTTTTTAATATTTATTTTTTAGTTGTAGTTGGACACAATATCTTTATTTTATTTTTATGTGATGCTAAGGATCAAACCCAGGGCCTCGCACATGCTAGGCAAGCGCTCTACCGCTGAGCCACAGTTCCAGCCCTTGCATCTAGAGTTTTCTTTTGAGTAGGTTTACTAAGTTGCTATGCATGCACCAAGCAGCATCCTTAAAGACAGGGTGCCCCAAACTCTGCTGAGAGACTCCCTTAGGTTGTTAGAATCCCACCCCCTCCCTTGAGTCTGGCTCAGTAGGTCTGGGGTGGGGCTTGCAAGTCTGCCTTTTTAACAAGTTCCATAGCTGAACATGAAGATTAGGTGGGGCTGGAGATTCTTCCTCACTGCACTCAGTAATACCCACCATCCTACATGCTCGTGGGTGACAATGGGTTGGTATAACTAGTGGAGCAATTCTAGGTGTGTCTGATCCATTCCTGCCGCAAGTCCTCTCAAACATTCCAATCCCTGCATTTCCCAAAATATCTTATGAAGTACCTAGTTCTGTGTGGTGCTTCCTAATTATGGGGCTCCATGATGAGATACTTTGGGAACCACTGCATTCTCGGTCATACTGTGGATAATTCAAGTTGTACAGTGAGGAAACGCATATAATGTCCACCCTACTAGCTTGATCTCTGATCCACTTAAAACTCTGGTTTGTTGCCCATTGGGTCAGGCAGATCTGGAGCGCCGAGGTCTTGGCTTCAATCTCTGTTCTGTCTGAGCCCAGCCGCTGTGGGCCTCCCTGGGGAGATAGAGGTCTGACTCGGGCAGGAACAAGACTGCCATTCCGGAGAATGAAATGACACACAAACGCAAGCCACAGAGACTTCGTTTGGTTGGGTGCTGCTGTTCCAGATGCCAGTCCATGGTTTGCTGACTAAAGAACAGCGTTTGGTCCCTGCAGACCTTCCAGACCAAGTGTTTGCCTCAGGGCAGGGCCCAAGCTCTTGTTCCTTTGGCTCTCGAGAACCCCCACAGTGGTCCCTTCCATGTCCTTGAAGCGTGGGTAGCTTCAGACAAAGGAAAATGGACTTTCCAATTGTAGCACAGATAGGAGCCGAAGGTGTCAGAAAGGACAAGCTAGCATGCTGGAGGTTGACCCAGCCGAGCTCCACTGGCACTGGGTGCCTTGGCATGTGCCCTGGTGGGCACTTCTTCCTTAGAGTAAGGTCCTCCTCAAGCACTGACCCAGCAGGCTAGAGCCCCAGGTACTCGGCCAGGAACACAGCGAGGATGCGGCTCAGGTTGTAGACCGTGGGTGGGTGGAGATTGGCCTCGGAGTCAGAAGGTGTGTGCCAGACGGTGGGGAAGGGCGTGGAGATGAGATGGAGCACGGGGACCCCTGAAGGTGAAAGAGGAGACTTGGTCAGGCCTGCTTTGGCCCACAGCTGATCCAGAGACCAGGCCCAGGCCCAGGCTCTGAATAGAGTTTAAATGTATGAGGATACATGCTGGTTTTTTTAAAAATCGGTATACCTTTTGTTTTCATAACAAATTAGAGAAACAATGGATTATGGAGAAAATAGAAGATGAGAAAGATGTCCTTGATTCTCTTTACCAGATATACGTTTTCTCTTTAATAATAACATTTATATTGTACTTGCTGGATTCCAGGCCCTAGCCTAATATCTCTCTCTCTCTCTCTCTCTCTCTCTCACACACACACACACACACCATACATACACACACACATTTTATCCTTACAGTAAATCCTTTAAGGTAGATAGTTACTGTCACTACCTTCATATTATTTTTAATTTGAGACAGGAACTTGCTATATAGCCTCAGGCTGATCTCAAACTCACAGGCTCCCAAGTAGCTGGGACTATAAAGTGTACATAACCATGCCCGGTTTTAACTTCATTTTTATTGATGTGGAGACTGAGGCAGAAGGAATCAGGGAAATGACTGATTGCCTAAGTTCCCATATCTAGTAAACAGCCAGAATTTGAACCACACCGCCAGGATTGGGTCTGCGCTGCTAACACCTGTACTTATATTGGTTCCTGTCCTCAGAGTACTTGGCCATGTTTGCTCAGATGGAGCAGGTGGATTCTGCCCATCACTCCATCCCTGACACCTAGTTCAGCACCTACCTAGGGAAGCACTCAGCATTCACTGAATGAACCAATAAAGAAGCCATTGTTATAAAGGGTGTAGCTCTGCGGAGGAGCACTTGCCTGGCATGTGCAAGGCCCTGGGTTCATCCCCAGCACCACAAAAAAATAAATACAATAAAACAAAGAAGGCATGGTAAGGATGCCTATTTGTTGACTAAGTAAATTATAGAGTAAAAATGTTAAAACCAGTTTTTAGCATTTACTATACGCCAAGCACTATTGTAAGTAGGCATTTATATACCTGGTCTCATCTAATCATGAGCTCTTGTGAGTATATGTGTGTGTCTGTCAGTCTGTCTCTTCGTTTTTCAGAAGAACTTGACGTAGGCTAAGTAATTATCTTTAGTTCAACCAGTGGTAAGTTGCAGATCCTAGAACCTAGATCTGACTATTCTAATATCTATGTTCTTAACTCCTATACCAGATGTGTTCAACCCTGACTGGACATTAAATTATGTGGGAGCTTTGTAAAGATCATGTAGAGCCCAAGATTGTGAGTACATTTTTTCCCCCCTGTGGTACTGATTGAACCCAGGGCCTTGGGCATGCAAGGCAAGCACTCTACCAACTGAGCTATATCCCCAGCCCTCCAGAGAATAAGATTGTGAACCAGTAGGGCTGAAATGTGATTGGGCAGTTTTTTAACTCCTTTGGCGATTCTGCTGGGCCACCAAGGCCTTGAAAGACTTTAAAAGGAAGAATAAATTTTGCAATCACTGTGGCACAAATAATTAACATTTCTTATGTGCTGTGCACTGGTCCAGATAAGGGCTTTACATTAGCACAATGCTCTCAACAACTTCTGAGCTATCCTCATTTTACAGATGAGGAAACTGAGGCACCAAAAAGTTAAGCAATATGCCACCGGCCCCCACCTGAGAAGGGGCCATTGCCAGGGCTGAGTTGTGGCTTCCTTGAATCCCCATCCCCATTATTCCCTGCTTAGGGCAAGTACCTCTGTGGAGGAAAGGGAGGTGGTCATCTTCCACAGAGCCAGGAGGCTCCCCGGGCTGGAAGTACATCACCTCCTGGGGATGAGACTGCAGCAGGTTCAGACGATGCAGACGCTTTTCTGGAAGTGGTGGGGATTAAAGGCAGGGGTTAGTCCTTGCCAGTCAGAGAAGCCCCAGTTCACAAATTTGAGAGGATCAGTTTCCAGAGACAGAACACTAGTCGTCCCAACATGAATGAATGTTTTTCCCCGCACTCCTCGTCTCACCTAACCCTGAGTCTAGGAGTAGACGCCCCTCTTATTGTCATGATCATGCCCTTTTCACTGATAGGAAATTGAAGCTCAGAGAGGTGAAGCTCACGCCCAAGTTCACAGACTCAGGCTATGAGACCAGCTGTCTCTCCCTGGAGCCTGTTTTTCTTGACCTCTGTGGGATCAGCTTGTTTCATCCCTGGTCCTCAGAGACCAAGCCCTGGGTGAGCCCTTAGACAACAGGTGCCTGGCCCACCAGCTCAGCTCTCCGTCCTGCATCCCAGCTGCACCTGCCTCTGCCGTGTTCACTCTTACCGATGCTCCTCAGCCGATGGAACCAGCGGAGAGTGCGGGGGAAGTGACTGTAGAAGGTTGGGTTGGGTGCTCCCAGAAGATCAAGAAGCACAAAGAGCTCCTAGGGAGAGAGTCCAGGGTGGGACGCGGCCAAGCAGGATCCTGCCAGCCCCACTCCACCTTCTCCCTTCCTTTGCTAGAACTCAGTGGGCCCTGGTCTTACAATAGCCTGGATCCTCGTGGGGCCAGGACTGTGGGGTATGGACTCCATGAGCTGGGCTAGGTGCCGGGAGCCATAAAGAGAGTCCTTGGGTCCCCACTCCTTCAGCGCCTCTTCACCATCCAAGAAGAGCAGTTGTAGTGTCACCGGGGCTGCCTGTGGGAGCAAGTACCCAAAGCCAGCTCACTGCCAACTCTCAGCATCAGTCCACCCACATGCCCTGCCACCTGCACAGTTGGGTAGGACCAAGCCAGAGTGCCTGGGTTTAAATTCACACCCTGCTGCTCATCAAATATGGGTAAGTTAATAACTTCCTGAGGCCTTAGCTTCCTCATCTGTAAATGGGGTTAATTATAGTTGTATTCATAAGGTAGGCCTGGCATATGATAACTAAACACAGGTTAGCTCTGGTTATTATTCATCAGAATCAGTTTAGTGAGAGAGACCCACAGATGAATTTATAAACAGTGAAATGCAGTCAAGACAGATGCTTCCAGGAACTAATGTTCTGAAAGAGTGCAGCGGAGGGATGTGCTGGCCTAGCTGGGGGATGACCTGGCCTAGAGAAGGCCTGGGGTCTGCTGGGAAGGATGTTCACACTGAGGTGAGGGGTTAGGAGCTGGCCTGCCAGGTGTGGAGCAGAGGGAAGAGTATTTCCAGGCTAGGGAATAACATGGACTAAGCCTGGGGCCATGGAATGGGTCAGAGCAGTTTGAGAGGAGACCAGAGGGGTGAGCAAGGTCCAAGAGAGTTTGGGCTTTGTTATAAGGTCATTGGGGAGCTGGAAAGGGGTTTGAGCAGGGGACAAGCATGTTTTCATTTACTTATTCATTCATTCAATCATTCATTCATTCCATAAACTTCTATTGATGCCCTAGTTTACGTCAGGCAATATTCTGATCCAAGAGATACAGCAAGAAACAAAAGCAGCCAAGCCCCTGCCTTCCTAGAGTTTATTCTAGTTGGGAGATAGGCAAACAAAACAGAAAACACCACAAAGGGCAGGGGGAGGGAAGAATCAAAGTTCACTGGATTAGACAAAAAGGAATGAATGGAAGGGAGCAGGGATGGAAATAGGAAAGACAGTAGAATGAATTGGACATAACTTTCCTATGTTCATATATGATTTATATGACCAGTATAACTCCACATCATGTTCAACCACAAAAATGGGATCCTAATTAGAATAAGTTATACTCCATGCATATGTCAAAATACATTCTACTGTTTTGTGAATCTATAAAGAATAAATTTTAAAATAGTTAACAAAATACTATAAAGCATGAGATGATGACAGGGAGTTACTTTAGGGTGGTTGGGAAAGCCTCTTAGAAGAAATGTGATTGGAGTGGATACCTGAATGGAAGGGAGGAAGGAGATGCCATTGGAGTGGATACCTGAATGGAAGGGAGGAAGGAGGAAAGGCTGATCTGAAAAAAGCACATTCTATACAGAACAAACAGCAAGTGCAAATGTCCAGAAATAGGAGAGGACCCTGAGGGTGTGAGGGACCTGGAGGAGGTAGGTGTGGCTAGAGCAAAGTGAGGGGTGCAGGGTATGAGATGAGACTAGAGGGCTGACAGGCACCCACAGGCCAGTAAGAATTCTGGTTTATGCTTGGAATAAACCAGAAACCTTATTGGAGCCATGGGAAGGTTTGGGCAGAAGTGGGACAGGATCTGACATTTGAGGCACATGGCTCAGTGCATGGAGTGTACGTTGGGCAAATGACCAAGTCAAGAGTTGGTGGGGGTTTGGACCAAGGTAGAAGAGGCCCGCCCACCCCTCCTCCCACTCCTCCTTCCACCCCTGTTCCTCACCTGCTCCTTGGCCCTGCTCAATAACAGATCAAGGGCCTGGGCCAGCTCCAGTAGCAGGGCACAGGGCACAGCCGAATCCGTGGCCCCTACAAAGGGGCCTGACCCAGGAGGGAAGAGCTTCGAGTCATAATGGCAGGCAAGGGTGAGGTGATGGGCAGCCCCTGGGTCCAGCGTGGCCACTATGTTGCCAAAGTCCAGTGGCCCCAGGGGCGTCAACGCTGTAAAGGGATCCAGTTCTACATGCCAGCCTGCTGTCAGGGTCCTCAGCGTGGCCTCCAGGAACTAGTAGCAAGAAAGAGATGGGAGGGTGGACAGGGACTGGGGAGGAGGTGGGGAGAAGAGCCATGTGACCTGAGCCCTGCAGAATGGCCAGGCTGACTCAGAAGTCCTATTTTGGTTTAAATCATTCCTTTGCCACACTTCTACTGAGTACCAACTGAGTGCCATATATTGGAGTGACCCCACCTCTCTCTCAATGTCAACAAGACTAATCACAGCTTTTTTTTTTTTTGGTACCAGAGATTGAACCTGGGGCATTCAACCACTGAGCCATATCACAAGCCCTTATATATATATATATTTTTTAGAGACAGGGTCTTACTGAGTTGCTTAGGGCCGTGCTAAGTCGCTGAGGATGGCTTTGAACTCCCGATCCTCCTGCCTCAACCTCTCAAACTGCTGGGATTACAGGCATGTACTGCCACAATTGGCACAGCTTACTCTTAAACATTGCTATGTGCAAGCCCTGTTCTAGGAACTCTGTGGGTTACAACCATCAACAAATGGCCTCATGAGGGGAACAAAGTCCCAGAGAGGTTTAGAAACTAATACTGGGTGAGGTGGATTGGAAACATGGTATCTGGAAGGCAATGTAGAGATGTTACACCACCAGTTCTGAAGTCTACCCACTTCAAACCCCAGGTCTACCATTTATTAGCTGTGGGATTCTGGGCCTCAGTTTCCTCATCTGCATAATGATTATCATACTGGTTCTCACCTCATAGGGCTATTTTCTGGGTGTGCCTAGCACACAGTAAACCTTCAGCAGGGACAGTGCAAACTGGTAGTGTGTGCATGCTTGGGACTCCAGACTCAGATTAACTCCAGGGGATCTTGGACAGGCTGCCTATTTCCCAATTACTGGCTAGAGATTCAGGGATTAGAGATAGGACCCTTTACCTTTCTGACTTGGAGATTGCCTGGGCTACCAGGGGTTCGCACAATCAACAGAGGACGCAGGTAAGTACTCCAGAGACGCTGTGGGTCTAGTTGCCCCACCACCCGTCGCAGCCTGTCTTCTGGGAGGCTTCCAATCGGCGGGGCCTTGAAAGGAAATGGGATACGGAAGAGAAGAATGAAAGCAACCCCCATTTCGATCCTATCCCGGGCGCCGTTGCCCCCAAGGAGCCCCTATTTCTTTTGGCAGAGCCTCCAGGATTGGAGAGTTCTAGGATAAATCCTAGGTTCAGGAAAAGTCCCTCAAAATCCATCGAGTCCAGCCTACCTCAATCCTGACCGGGAAATGGAACTCCGGTGAGAGGAAGAGAGACTTCCAAATAATTAACTTGAGGCATAAAGCCCAGATCTCCCAACCTTACTACTTCAGACGCTACCTCTTAAAGGAGAGCTACTATTACAGGACAAGATAGAAGATTTATTCCGTTGGTAAAGGCATGGGCTCAAATGACGGACAAGGTGGCACCTGCGGCTAGGGCCATACGATACAGCCACGTCAACCGAAACTGGGGAAGGGGAAGTGGGAAACACGTACTCCTGCGGTGCCCTTCCCCTGCCCGTCCTCACCCGCAGCCGCCGGCCCTGCGACAGCTCCTCAGTCCCGCGGTGCCAGCTGCTCCAGATGATGTAGAACGCGGAGCCCACGGCCAGCGCCAGCAGCAGCACGGGCAACAGCTGCACCCGCGGTAGCAGGCGGCGCTTGGGCAATGAGGGTGGCTCCGTGAGGCCACGTTCCCCGAGCCTCAACCGGGGTCGACCGCGGCCCCCGGAAGGCATGGCAGCTTTGCCCTGAAACCGGTCGGGGACCGCGGATTGAGTTTAGGCCCAGCCAAGTTCCGCCCCATGGAATCACAAACCCAATGAGCAACAAGAGAGGCTAGACCATCCCACCCGAGCGGGCAGTGAAACCAATGGAAATTCATGTGCTGAGGACACGCCTCCCTGACTCCCTGAGGCATTGGGGTTGGTTCCCCTAAGGGTTGCACAACCCTAAAGGGAGCACGAAAGAAATAGGGACCGCCTCCGCGGAGGAGGAAAAGCCAATGAGCAGCGTTTGATCAGGGAAAACACCGGGCCACACAGGTCCACGCCCCTCCCGGATGTAGGCTTGGGATTGGTTGCGCAGGGTCGGAAAGATCAATAGATACGTCGAGGAACGGTCCCTGAAGAAGAAGGAGCTGTGACTATCCCTGAAGCGAGGAGAGGATTGGCTTCGCGGGGCCGCGCCCCCGAAGACAGGGCCGGCGGGCATTTGGAAATGGCGTGTCGTTTCCCTCCTTCGATCTATACTATTCTACAACGAAATTATTTGAGTCCGGACCCCGTTTCTCCTCTCCATTGTTGTGAGCATCTGTCCCGTACGGTCCTGAGGGGCCTCGAGCCACTACTGGAGGCTTTTACCCCATCCCTGCGCAACGGGCGGGGATCGCTATGGCAACAGACCACGCCCCCTGCCCAAAGGTTGGTTTGCGCAGGCGCCCACGGAAGTGGGCCGCAGGAAGCGGAAGTCCCGCCTCTCCTCTCGCCTCTTCAGAGGCCGAAGCAACGCGGAGGAGACCGTAGCGACTTGAAGACGCAGCTGCCACCATGTGAGGCTGGGCTGGGATTAGGCGGCTAGTGCCAGGTTGAGGGTGTAAATTTGGCCGATTTACGGTGGAAGGGGTTGAGTAGAGCCTGGGCGGAGGGAGAGGTCTTAGCGGATGAAGTGGCGTACTTTTCTCCTGAAGAGTTTGAGAACCGGCGTGGGTTCTTTGGCGGATCTTGCGTTCGGGAAAAGGGACTGCTTTATTACATAACGGACTAGAGCTTTCCTAGTTAGTCTTGTTCAAGTGAATTTTAAGGGGAAGCTATGTAGATTAAAGAACCTCGGGGAGGGAAGTGCGGACTGTTAGAAGTGACGATTCGCGGTAAGGGACATAGCCACATCATTTAAGCGGCAGATGGGTGGCTTTTACAGTAACAAGTCACTGAAGTGATTTTGATTATTTATTCGGCAGATATTACATTGAATGCTCATGTGTTGGGCACTGTTTTGGGATGCATCAGTGAATAAAAGGTCCTCGCCCCCAAGAAAAAGTTCCCACAAAGGTTTATTAGGAGACGGGAGTAGGCAGGCCAGAGTTAGAGTAATAAACGAGTATAGGGTATGTTAGGTGATCAGAGCTTCGAATAAAGAAATAATCAAGTAGGGTATAGACAATGGGGAATGCCAGTACCTTAATAACTATCACAAGAAGGAACATTTGAGCAAAGACCTGAAGAAAATGAGATACTGAATTACATAGTTATTTGGGGGTTCCAGGCAGAGGGAAAAACAAGTGTACAGACCTTGAAGTGAAAGTTTGCCTCCTGTATTCAAAGACCACCCAGGAGGCCAGTGTGGCAGAAATAGAGTGAGAGGGGGCAGATGTAGGGTACTGGGAAAAGTAGGTTTTCCTTTTATCACAAGATGGGACATGGAGGTTTAGGCCTTGGAAAGAAATGGTCAGATTGTGGATGTAGATTTGATGTAGGAGGTGATGAATTAAGTAGACATCAGAGTCCTTGCCCAGAGAACTGGAAAGATGTAGTTACCAACAGAGATGGGGAGTACTGAGGATAGAGCAGGTTGAGGTAGTCAGACAGTCGGGAACTCAGCCTGGGACAGGCGAAGTTAGAAACGTCTGTCGGGCATCCAGGTGATGTTGCCAAGACAGATGAGAATGGGTGTTGTAGGGCAAGGCCTTGATCACTCATGCTCCCAGCCTAAGCCCTTCTCACCTCTGGGTTCTATACTTGCTTATTCAGGAGCCTCCTCAACAAGCCCAAGAGTGAGATGACCCCAGAGGAGCTGCAGAAGCGGGAGGAGGAGGAATTTAACACAGGTCCACTCTCTGTGCTCACACAGTCAGTCAAGAACAACACCCAAGTGCTCATCAACTGCCGCAACAACAAGAAACTCTTGGGCCGTGTGAAGGCCTTTGACAGGTAAGCAAAGGGTGTAGATGTAGAAACGCTGCCTCAGCTCTGGTCTGAAGAGCCTGAATAAAAGACTTCTTGGAAGCCATAGAACAGCAGAGGGGAGGGGCATCTTAACACCACAAGGTATGGCTGTCTCTCCTTGCCCTCCCGCTACAGTTATTACATAATTAGAGCATCCACCCCCATTGGGTACTATTTTAGGCTCTGGAGACACAACAGTGACTAACACAAACATGGTTCCTGTATTCCAGGAGTTTATGCTCTCAGAAAGGAAACCAATGGAATGCACATAAATGTGTGTCATACGTGACGATGGGTTTTCTGAAGAAAAATAAAACAAGAGTGTAGACTGTTGGGAAAGAGTCACTTCATCCCACTGTGCCTTGCATTCCTGCTCTAGAGACTAGGGATAACAATGTTTATATAATAGTGGTTTATATGATATTATTTTTCTTATGAAGGTGAGTCTCCGCTTTTCTCCACCTCCATTAGCCTTCCAGCCCTCGGCCACCCTTTCCTGCCATGTTTGACTCCCATGCACTCACATATAGGTGTTCAGGAGTTCCTTTGTGGAGTTAAGAGGTGTCTGTGTGTTATAGCAATGGGATTTTTGTTGTTGTGGGTTTTTTTTTTTTTTTTTTAATGGGCATGTGCCACTGTGTCCAACTTTCCCTGCCAATTTCACCTCACAGTACCTCTCATACAAAGCTCCCTCACCCTCCTCCTCCTTTTTTGGTGATGCTGGGGATTGAATTCAGGGTGCTAGGCAGATGCTCCACCACTGAGCTATACCCCTGCTGATTCTCTTCATATCACCACCTGACGGTATATTCTAGATCCCTGTTCCCTTGTTTCTTGCTCTTCTCCTGGCTGCGGTGCACACCACAAGGGCAGGCATGTTTTACTCACTGCCCTGGTGGTTGTGTTTCAAAAGATGTGTGTCGGCTGCATTTAGAAAGCATTTGTTGAATGAGCCAGTCCCTTGCTGTCATCACACATGCCCACCCAGCACTGTGAGGACAGGGACAACAGGACTGGAGCACAAATATCAGGTGCCACCTCAGGTCCCAGCACCCCAGGAGCCTCTAGGTCTCCAGAAGAAGGTGCTTTTCTGCTGCTCCTCCTAAATACTTAGTTAACCACACATGAGGAGCTGTGTTTGCCTTTACTCTGTGCCAGGCTGTGCTCTGAGTGCTTTTCAGAAATGCTATATTTATTCATCTGATCTTCACAGCAGTCCTATGAGAAAGGAACCATGATTGTTTCCATTTTAGAGAAGAGGAAACTGAGGCACAGGGGGATAAAGTCCTTTGTTCAAGCCTCTCTAAAAACATGGAGATGAAGCCCAGCTGTCCTTGGCCCAGGGCCTGCACCCTTCTTTATACCATGCTGCTGGGCAGAGGAAGGGTATTTAGAAGATTCCCCATCAACAACAACTACTCTTGCTTCCCTACTCCCTGCCCCACCAGGCACTGCAACATGGTGCTGGAGAATGTGAAGGAGATGTGGACCGAGGTCCCCAAGAGTGGCAAGGGCAAGAAGAAGTCCAAGCCAGTCAACAAGGACCGCTACATCTCCAAGATGTTTCTGCGTGGAGACTCCGTCATTGTGGTCCTTCGGAACCCCCTCATCGCTGGCAAGTAGGGGCTCCTTCCCACTGTCAGAACTTGCTTCCCTGTCCTGTGAAGACCTGCCCTTTGTGATCGGAATAATAAAGTTACTGTTTTGGTTTTGCTTTTGTTTTTTAAATCCTGGTGGTATCTGTCTATTCCCAGGGCCTTGTGAATGGGGCAGCCTTGGGAGAGAGGGAGAGGAGCACCTGGATGTGGGGCTAAATGCTGATTCCAGAGCCCCTGAGCAGGTGATGAGGCGCTTTCTCTGCCCTATCCAGGCCTCACTTCTGGAACTACCCATGAAGTGGATAGGTTAGACACAAATGACCTCACTGAGAGCCCAACTCAATTTTCTTTTGGTCTTTTTTTCCCACTTGTCCTGTGAGCAGACATCCCCCAGGTGTCTAGCTGTATGTCATAATACTAGGGACACAGTGGTGTCTGGGAATCCCACCCTGCCCTTGCAGGTGGAGGAGTGGGTGTGCACTTGGGGCAGGCAGCACTCTGATACTGTTAGGATGCCAGGCTCAGTGCTCCAAGGTGTCCTCCATTTTCTGGAAGAGGGAGCTGAGGCACAGCAGAGTGATGTCACTTCCCAGGGACATTCAGCTGGGAGGTGATGGTATGATTCAAACCTGCCCGCTCCTGGTCCTGTGACTTCTGGTCCTGAGCTCTGCTGCCCCTCAAATTACTGCATACTTAATTCTCTACAAACTCAAGGAGGCCTTACTTATTGGGAGGATTAAGGACGATCTTCATCTTGCTGTAGTGTGCTCGGATGCATTCTGTCTTCCAGATAGGGCCAAACTGCAGGTGGGTGCAGGAGTTGGCAGGCCTGAGGTCAGGATTAAATTAGATGTTAGCTGCATTCTTGAGCTGTGGAAGGCATATCTTGAATTACTCTGAGCCTCGGGGCAGAGCTGGGTCACTGCAGCAGAGAGGGAGCTGGCATGCAGGGTCAGAAAAGATATACATTTCCTCAGTGCTCGGCATTTCATTGATGCAACCATTATTGGGCAGATATTAGAGCTCTCTCATTTATAGATGAGACAGCTGAGCCCCAGAGAAGGTAAATGACTTGCCTGGGGTCACCCAGTGGAAAAGGGAGGCCTTATTTATTGTGGAGGATTAGAAAACAAAGCAGCTGAGTGTGGTGGCAACATCTGGAATTCTAGGAACTCCAGAGGCTGAGGCAAGAGGATTCCAAGTTCAAGGCCAGCCTCAGCAACTTAGTAAGACCCTGTCTCAAAAAGGA